TGTGGCTCCACACCGTCACACACAGAGCAGGGCCCATGAGGGGTTGGGGCGCTGCACCCTGTCACACACAGAGCAGGGCCGATCAGGGGGTTGGGGAGCTCACCCCATCAGGCACAGAGCAGGGCTGATCAGGGGGTTGGGGCGCCTTCCCCTGTCATGAACAGAGCAGGGCTGATAGGGAGGTTGTGGCCCCGCCCTGTAACACACAGAGCCGCAAGGTGATCAGGGGGTTTGGGTGCTGCCCCCTGTCACACTGCTCCAGGGGCCAGGAGGCCTCGCGGCTGATCCCAGTGCTGGGAGGCTCCGCTGATCCCAGTGCCAGGAGGCCTTGCTGCTCCGCTGGTCCCGGTGCTGGGAGGCATATTACCCTTTTACTATATAGGATAGAGGCCTGGTGCACAGGTGAGGGCCGGCTGGTTTGCCCTGAAGGGTGTCCCGAATCACTGTGGGGGTCTCGCTTGGGTGCCTGGCCAGCCTGGATGAGGGGCTGATGGCTGTTTGCAGCTGGTCACACCCCCTTCAGGGTGGGGGTCCCCACTGGGGTGCCTGGCCAGTCTGGGTGAGGGGCTGAGGGCCGTTTTCAGGCTGGAGGGTGACTGAAACTCCCAGCCTCTCCTTTTTTTCTTTTTCTTTTTTATTCTGGGATTTATTTACCTTCTATGGCTGTCACTGGAACTGAGAGCCGGCTTTAGCTCTGAGGCTTCTATAATTGAAACACTGTTGCAACTCCAGCTCTGAGGCCAGGCTGGCTGAAAGCAGGTTTCTGGGCTTTGTTTAGCTTCTATAATTGCAACATAGTTGCTTAGAGTGCAGCTCAGAGCTGGGCTGAGGCAGGCAGGGAACCTTGGCTTCCTCCTTCACTGGAGCAAGCAAGCCTCCTGTTCGCTTCAGCTGCCTGGCTGCCGGCCGCCATCTTGGTTGGCAGTTAATTTGCATATCTCGCTGATTAGCCAATGGGAAGCATGTCGGAGGTATGGTTAATTACCATGTTTGTCTATTATTAGATAGGATTATTGACTATATTCCCTATGCCATATTTTATATCCCCAGAGTATTTTGTGAGCACCAATTTATGCTTCTTAATCCCTTCACCTTTTTCACCCAGCCCTCAACCCCTCCTTCCTTTCTGGCCACCAGATTGACTTCTGTATCAATGAGTCCTTTTATTTTCTTTCTTTGTTTATTTGGCTCTTTAGATTCCACATATAAGTTAAATCATATGGTATTTGTCTTTCTCTGATTTCTTTAACTTAGCATAATACCTTCTAGGTCCATCCATGCTATCACAAATGGTAAGAGCACATTTTTTTATTTTATTTTGTTAATCCTCACCTGAGGATATTTTTTCCCATTGCTCTTACAGAGAGAGTGGAAGGAGGGGGGGGAGAGAGAGAGAGAGAGAGAGAGAGAGAGAGACATTGATATGAGAGAGACATATCAACTGGTTGCTTCCCAAAACCCAGGTATGTGCCCTTGACTGGGAATTGAACCTGTGACCAGCTCATGATCGGACAGAGATTTCCTTAAATGTTTGGAATCAATAGACCTCCTGCCCTTTGCCACTGGTCTTTGTGTGCAGGTTTGGGCACTCCTTCAATGTTTAGCCAGGCAGTTTACAACTCTGCCTTAGCTTCCACTTCTTTCCTTCACAGCTTCCAGGTCAGCCCTAGGTGAAAGATTAGGGCCTTCTTAGCTGGGCAAATTATTTGAATAGGTAATATTGGAAAGGAGAACACGGCTCAATTTCACTAATAGTAAGAGTAATACAAATTAAAATGAGACTCCACACTCAGCATATTGATTAAATTTAGACAGTTTTATAATACCGATTGTTGTTGAGAATTGATGAGACGAATGCTCATGCCCTGTTAGTAGAAGTGTATGTGGCTGTCACTAGTTTGAATGTTTAATTAGTGAAATTTAGTATGCATATCTATATATATAAAAGCCTAAGCAATCAAATGACTGAACGACCGGTGAACTGGTTGCCATGACACGCACTGACTACTACGTGGCAGATGCTCAATGCAGGAGCTGCCCCCTGGTGGTCAGTGCGCTTCCACAGCGGGAGCATCGCTTAGCTGACCGATGGGCGCCAGACTCCAGGCTCATGGCTGGCAAGCGCAGCTGTGGTGATGTGAGCTTCTCCCGCCTCTGCCACAGTGCTACTGAGAGCGGCAGCAGGGCCAGGATGAGCGGGAGCGGTGTGGCGCCTGGCCTGGGCTCGGGCTCCTCCCCGACCGCCTGCTGCTTCGGGAACTACTACATCCCTTGGAGGATGTCGGACTGTCAATATCGGCCTGATCCCCTAAGATCTGGCCAAAACCAGCAGTCAGACATACCCCGAGGGGTCCCGGATTGCTAGAGGGCACAGGCCAGGCTGAGGGACCCCACTGGTGCACGAATCTGTGCACCAGGCCTCTAGTATACTATGATTGGACAATCCTTGCTGGAAATTCTCTCACAGTTAATAAGGGGAAATATAAAAATATGTTAATTGCTGTGTTGGTGGGGGTTAGAGACATCCTATGAGTCCAGCACGAGGGGACTGCATAAGTAAATGTAGAGGAAGCACATGCTAAAATATTTTGCAGTAGTTAGAAACTTTGAACCAGATGTCAACCAGTAATCTAAAAAAGAATTTTAAGTTATCTATATACCCCTTGACTGAAGGAAGAAGCTGCTTGCACATTTAATCAGCTCATTTGTATAATTGTATTCCCTTTGTGTTTCCTTTTATGCTTCAGTTGTCAGAAATTTCAGAGCTCAATTTAATCACAGTAGCTATATTAGTCCTTCCACTAAAGAAATATGTGCCTAGTTGTCTTTGAATTTTGTATTTTTGGGAAGCTTTTGGGGGTTATAAATATAAAAAAAGGTCTTTTGAATCTAAACAATAATCTTATCATAATTAAGGAATATCCAAGTGAAAAAAGATTAGGGATGAAACTAATTTTTCCTGACTTGTGAGATTATTAAAAAAAAAAAGAAAAAGAAAGAGGAAAGAAGATGAATCAAGCAACCACCTTAGGATGAGAAAGAAATATTTAATTCTGTGGAAGTATGTGTTTAAATAACCTCTCACCTGAATGAAGAACATCTTTTGGTAACCAGAGGTTTCTAAGAAGGCATTTATTTCCTGTGGATAACCTTCATATCTCTATGGAAATTGAATAAGAATGAGAAGTTTGAACAAAAGCAAAAGGAATGAAATCTCTTCAAGCCGTGAGAAGCTGCTAAGTCTCTCAGAGGCTGTTTGGGGAAATGATTTTCCATCTGTTCCCAGATAGTCCACTAGGTGGTGGTGCACATTAAAAACTGTTTGCCTAAACTCTGAATTGTCACAAAACTTACTCTTCTTTTTCAAGTAAAATACCAAGAAAATCTGCTTAAAAACAATAAAATATTAAGGGAGAACTATTAAGCCCTGCATTAATAACAAAGGGGGTAATCTCAGGTGCCGGGGTTCTTGTTCCAGCATTGAGAAGGGTTCAGCAATCTGGAGAAAGCTGTGCGTAGATTAAATAAGAGTCCAGAGACGAAATATAATTTTGAAAGGCATGTGGGGGTCAGAGGAGCCTAGTTTAAAGGAAACTAAGATCTAAGTTCTAAGTCCTAAGGTCTGAGGTCTCTTCGTCTCAGGACCCCATGCTTTTTATTAACACAAATTGTCCTGAGGCAAGGTGGAGATATACACTTCAAAGGGTCAGGGTTTCTGTACAGCAGTGGTTCTCAACCTTCCTAATGCCGAGACCCTTTAATACAGTTCCTCATGTTGTGGTGACCCCCAACCATAAAATTATTTTTGTTGCTACTTCATAACTGTAATTTTGCTACTGTTAGGAATCGTAATGTAAATATCTGATATGCAGGATGTATTTTCATTGTTACAAATTGAACATAATTAAAGCATAGTGATTAATCACAAAAAAATATGTAATTATATATGTGTTTTCCGATGGTCTTAGGTGACCCCTGTGAAAGGGTCGTTGGAGTACAGAGTCCATTGTCAGAATGGGGGAATTAGCCTACGGCTGTTCAGGTGTTTGGCCAGTAAGAGGCAATAACATGTAGATTAAGATGCCCTTTAGCTGTCTGGCAGCCAAGCAATAATCTCTTTTCAGGTTTGGGGAAATGCCATCAGCCATTCCCAGATTCAGCCCTGCTACAAAATGAGGGTAGGTACCATCCAACAAAGATAATCTCCAAATGCAGCTTTTGGCTTCCTTGACCCAGGCCCTTTTGGCTACAGAAAAGTATAATGATATTTTTCTCCCTATACTTTTTCCAGAGATCACCTTGGATGCAAAGAGTAAAAGTTTGATGAGTATGTTTACAAAGTAATTTTTGTGCCTTAAAAAAATCTCAACTTTCACCTACCAGTTACTAAAATTTCATAATCATTATTTTTAATATGTTAGTATGTTATTGTATCACATGTGAAAAGTTCAGTATACTGTTTGTGTGAATACATCACTCTAATATGAATAATGCAGTAGTCTCCCATCAATTAGGTGACTTCTTTTGCTACCTTGCAGTGGTTCTCAACCTTCCTAATGCCGCGACCCTTTAATACAGTTCCTCATGTTGTAGTGACCCCCAACCATAAAATTATTTTCGTTGCTACTTCATAACTGTAATGTTGCTACTGTTATGAATCGTAATGAAATACCTGATATGCAGGATGTATTTTTATGGTTCGCGACCCACAGGTTGAGAACCGCTCCTTTAGAGAATGAAGCAAGCTTCTTCAGTGATTAAATTTGCACAACTGTGGTGACCTCTGAAAGGCTACATTCCCTTGTAAGACTACCTACTCAGTACAAAGCATAAGTGAAGTCACTCTTAAGCTGCCTCACAACTGAAGTCACTCTTCTGTAGTTCACAGATTCTGGCTGATGATGTCATTGACACAAGGAAGAAAATGCAAAATAGGAGGCCTTAAATCGGCTTGCTGACGAGCATCACATGTATAGCTGTGGCCTGAGACCAGCTGTGGTATGGCTATAGCTTTGCAGAGCACCCTGGAAGTGGTGTGGTTAGGGCTCCTCTTTTGCTCTCTCTGGAAGGGTGAGTAGGCTTCTTCATTCTCTGGTCTTGGAAAAGTGTATGCCATTATTTAAAAATTTGGACTAATTTTTAAAAAAATTAGATTTATTAATACTCACTGTACCTAAAAGACTATTAACAAGCAAATAGCAGCATCAGTCTCACAGCCTTCTTTATTTGTTTCCTGCAGTTGCCGAGAGCAAGGACCAGGTATTTCAGCACTCCACCATGGTATCTTCGGAGGGAGCTGTGGTGGAAATCTCCTGTAATCACTCTATATCAAATGCATACGACTTCTCCTGGTACCTTCACTCCCCAGGATGTGCACCAAGACTCCTTGTAAAGGGTTCAAGGCCTTCTCAGAAGGGACGCTACAACATGACATACGAGCGATTCTCTTCTTCACTGCTCATCCTCCAGGTGCAGGTGGCAGATGCTGCCACTTACTACTGTGCTCTGGGGGACACAGAGGCAGAGAACCCACGGAGAGCTGAACAGAAACAGGGAGAAAGCACAGCCTTTACAGGAGGTAGACAAGAGAGCAGCAATAACTGCTTCCCTCCTACCTTAGTGTTCCCCAAGCTTTTCTATTTGGCATTGCTATTAAAATGTATTTTGAGTTCAGACACACTATATCATTAAGCTCTCAGTTCAGTGGTGACAAGAAGAGAAGAATCCACAGGAGAGAAAAATTCCCTTTACACTCAAATCCAGGAGTTTGTTTATGTATAGAGATTCCCCCTCTCCATTGTACACTTTGAACAGTTCCTAACTGGCTTATATTTCTCTAAAAATATAATTCCTAGAATGTAACAACACACCTAAGATGTAGCTTGATGCATTATTAAACTACATGGAAACAATGAAAAAACTGGGTAAGGATGAGAAAAGGTATTAAACTGAAAAACTAAACAATCTCTTGAGTACACTGAGATATGAGGGTCATTGATTTATTGTCTCTTTTATTTGGAGTAGCAGAGCAGAAAGTCAAATAATGGATTTCCCCATTTTTTTGAAACTTCCCTAATTTATGTGAAAAAGTCTTTTTTTTCTTTTAGTTGGACTGTTTTCTGTGTTAAAGTTTCATATAAAAAACACTGATTTTTCTCCTTGTTCCAACTTTATTTTGTGTTGAATTTTCTCTGATGCTTCTGAATATAATCTATATTTCAGAGTCTGATGTTTACAAAAGGCTTTCTCATTATTTTACATGAATCATGCCTTGTCTCCTGGAAAATCATTGACATTAATAGAGTTCTGATGTTTATAAATAATAGTTTCCTGGGAAGGCAATAGGCTAGTGATGGCGAACCTTTTGAGCTCGGTGTGTCAGCATTTTGAAAAACCCTAACTTAACTCTGGTGCTGTGTCACATATAGAAATTTTTTGATATTTGCAAACATAGTAAAACAAAAATGTATATTGTTGATATTTATTTTATATATTTAAATGCCATTTAACAAAGAAAAACCAACCAAAAAAATGAGTTCGCGTGTCACCTCTGACACGCGTGTCATAGGTTTGCCATCACTGCAGTAGGCAGTCCTAGAGAAGTACCTGGAGTCTCAGGTTGAAGTTCCTTTGGTGCCCTTGGGTTGTGATGTGCATGTCTCAATGGAGTCAAATAAGAAGGAGTGAAGAGCAGTACCTCTTGGAGGGCAGGAACCTTGTAGGAGAGTAGAGACCTCCACCTGCACCATTTTGGGAATATTCCCCATTAGCTCACCTATCTCACATTTGACAGATCCCCAGATAGACATCACTGTGCCTAGTTTACAATAGTTTGGGAGAACAGTTCATGTTTATTTTCTGTGAAATGAAGATTCTTTCAATATAAACTGGAGAGTTGGGCAGAATAGTCAGAATGTAGTTCAGATGGGGTGCGTATGGTAACTTAATCAGACCAAAAATTACCTGCACATAAATCTGTAAGGGCATGGATATGAGCAAGAAGTGCTAGAGAAAGTGGATGACCATTGCATGTTCAAGGTGGTTTAGAAGCAATTATCTTCAGATTATTTCACCCCAAAGCAGCAGAGTATACATTCATTTCAAGTGCCCACGGAACATTTTCTAGGATAGACCACATGTTAGGACACACATAACATCTCAATAAATTTCAGAAGATTGAAATCATATCAAGCCTCTTTTCTGACCATAATGGAATCAATCACAAGACCATGGAGGCTATGTAACATGTTACTAAACAATGAATGGGTTAATAATGAGATCAAGGAAGAAATTAACAGATACTTTGAAATAAATGAAAATGAGAACACAACAACCCAAAATCTATGGGATACAGTGAAAGCAGTCCTAAGAGGGAGATTCATAGTATTTCAGGCCTTTGTTAATAAACAAGAAAAATTTGAACAACAATAACAAAAAACCCTTGACTAACCTAACTTCACACTTAAAGGAGTTAGAAAAAGAACAATAAACAAAGCTCAAAGTGAGTAAAAGAAAGGAAATAATATAGATCAAAGAAGAAATAAGTGAAATAGAGTCTAAAAACAAATACAAAACATCAATGAGAACATTATGCTAAGTGAAGTAAGTCTATCAGAAAAAGCCAAGAACCATATGATTTTACTCATTTGTGAGATATAAAACTGAAACTTGTGGACACAAACAAGAGTGTGGTGGTTGCCAGAGGGAAGAGGGAGGGGGTGAAAGGGGTCCTAATATATGGTGATGGGAGAATACAAATAAAAGACCACCACTTAAAAAAAATTGAAAATGGAACTATCTTATGATTCAGTGATTTTGCCTTTGAGACAGCAGGAGAGACCTGGAGACTATTATGCTAGGTGAAACAAGCCTGTCAGAGAAAGACAAATATCACATGATCTCACTTATATGTGGAATCTAATGAACAAAATAAACTGACAAATAAAATAGAACCATAGGCATGGAAACAAGGAACAGACTGATGAATCTCAGAGGGAAGGCGGGGAGGGGGCAAGAAGAGATTAACTAAGAACTTATATGCATATACAGGGGTGGGCTAAAGTAGGTTTACAGTTGTGAATATGCAAAACACAAAAGTTTATTCTTGTATTATTATTAATTATTGTGTTATTTTCCATACAAACAACTGTAAACCTACTTTTGCCCACCCATGTATGCATTGCCCATTGAAACAGACAATAGGATGGTGGAGGCTTGGGGTGGGGTGGGAACCAGTAGAGGTGGGTAAAGGAGGAAAAAGAGGGAATATCTGTAATATTCTCAACAATAAAGATAAAAAAATAAAAATCAATTGTTTCTGCACAACAAAGGAAACTAATGACAAAACAAAAAGGTAACCAACCGAATGGGAGAAAATATTTTCAGACAGCAACTTCGACAAGTTAATATCCAAAATATATAAGGAACTCTATGAGTCAACACCAAACAAACAATCCAATTAAAAAAAGGCAGAGGCCCGAATAGACACTTCTCCCAAGAAGACATACAAATTGCCAACAGATACATGAAAAGATGTTCAACTTTACTAGCTATTAGGGAAATTCAAATCAAAACTACAATGAAATATCACACCTGTTAGAATGGCTATTATCAACAAGACAAGTAATAAATGTTGGAGAGGTTGTGGAGAAAAAGAAACCTTCATTCATCGCTGGTGGGAATGTAAACTGGTACAGCCACTATGGAAAATAGTAAGGAAGCTCCTCAAACAGTACGAATAAAGTTACCTTAGCATAATGTTCTCAAGGTCCATCCATGTTGTTGCCAATGGCAGTATACCATCTTTTCTTATGGCTGAGAATTTGGTACCAGGCTGGCAGCACCCCTGGGATTTTCCTTTCTACTCTGAGGATTAAGTGTCCTTGTTGGCAGTCCTCTGGAGTGTCTAAAAGAGTCTGTTTATGCTATAGCTTCCCAGCAAACTCGATGGAATGCTGTCCTGATATTTGCTTCAGCTCCCTAGTTTATTAAGCTTATTAAAAAAACCCCACATGTTTTTTTTCTTTTTTAAATTGTTTTATTGCTTAAAGTATTACAAAGAGTATTACATATGTCTCCTTGTTTTCCCGCCCTTGACAATCCCCTGGCCTCCCCTACCCCCCAGTGTCTTATGTCCATTGGTTATGCTTATATGCATGCATACAAGTCCTTCGGTTGATCTCTAACACCCCCTCCCACCCCCCAACCCTCCCCGGCCTTCCCACTGTAGTTTGACAGTCTGTTCGAGGTTGCTCTGCCTCTGTATCTATTTTTGTTCATAAAAAACCACATGTTTTTATTGATTCCAGAGAGAGGAAGGGAGAAGGAGAGATAGAAACATCAATGATGAGAGAGAATCATTGATCAGCTGCCTGCTACACGCCCCCTACTGGGGATCAAGTTCGAAACCCTGGCATGTGCCCTGACTGGAAATCGAACTATGACCTCCTGGTTCATGAGTCAACGCTCAATCACTGAGCCACACAGGCTGGGCTAAGCTTATTTTTTGGTTCCATTTTCCTTTCTTCCTTATATTAATAACTAGCTACCTATATTAACATATCTATTTTTGGCTTCTTATTACAGAAAAACTAAAAAAAATCTGAATCTGCTAATAAAAATGTTCTGTGTTTTGTTGTCAGCAGCTTCCCTCTAGTGGGGGTCTTAGTTCCTGAACAAGAACTCAAGACATGAATTAAGACACTGTTCATAGCTGTTACGGAAGAACTACCAGTCCTGTGACTCTGCATCATATCTCAGATTAGTGTTTAACCTATCATTAATTATTGCTTAATTGGTTCTTTTGTTGTGTTTCTGTGTATCCCTTATTTTTAATTAGTACCTTCAGAGCTTGTTGCCTGCCTTCAGGATTCAAGACACGCTTCTCTTCTTGAGGAGCTGGGGTGGGGGAGCTTGCAGAGGAGTGCCTGCTGGGTTTTAACTCAAGTAGGGATTCCACAAATATTGTTTGATTGAGTAAATTAATGCTTACCCAGAGTTTAAAATAATTTTATTCTTTAATCCAGAAAATCCCCTCTATAGAAGCTAGTTAAAAGAAGTAATTAGATATTGTATTAACTATGTATGGTGCTAGTTGGTACTAGGAATATCGGGGAGGACACTTTGTATATGATTGTCTAACCACTATGTTGTACACCTGAAACTAATACAAAATAATATTGAATGTAAAGTGTAACTTATATATATACTAGAGGCCTGTTGCACGAAAAGATTCGTGCAATAAGCTTTCCCTTCCCCTGGCTGCTGGCACCAGTTTTTCTCTGGCACCTGGGACCCAGACCTTCACTCTGGCCACCGCCTTCCATCTTTGCTCTGGACACAGTCTTCGCTGTGGCTGGAGCCTTCAGTCTTTGCTCCTCGCTCCGGTGGGAGTCTTCAGTCTCCGGCCAGAGCTGCTCCTGTAGCTCCTTCCGCCCCTCCCCCCCCGCATCCTCCCCCTCATAGCTTGATCGCTGTTTTGCCTGCAGACCTCGCCGAAGGGCTCCTGGGTTCCAGGGGGCCACCTTGCCTCCAGCCCGACTTTCCGATCAGGATCACAGGCCCCAGGCAAGGCGGCTCCTGGGTCCCGGGGGTGCCGCCTTGCCTGCAGCCCGGCTTTCCGATCACAATCACCGGCTGGGGGGCGGGCAAAGGTGGCCCCGGTTCTCCGATCCCGGTTCTCTTGCCTGCCA